GAGTTCTTACAGTGCACGGCGAGGGTACCCGTTCTGGATCAGCATTTTGTTCGGCCGCTAGGGTGAGGTAGTGTCTACAGCAGGGCTGTAAGGGTTTTGTGGCGTACGTGTCAGATACGCGGGTTGATTCCAAGAGGCCGAGGTCGGTGGAGTAGGTTCCTATAGTGCGTGAGTTCCCGGATGTCTTTCCAGAGGAGTTGTCGGGTGTGCCTCCCGTGAGGCAAGTAGAGTTCAGTATCGATTTGGTCCCGGGGGCCGCGCTTATCGCTAAGGTGCCTTATTGTCTTGCACCTCCAGAGATGCAAGAGTTATCCTCGCAGCTTCAGGAGCTGCTAGGGAAAGGGTTTATTCGGTCGAGCAGCTCGCCGTGGGGAGCGTCTATTCTGTTTGTCAAGAAGAAGGATGGTTCACACTGGATGTGCATTGATTACCGGGAGTTGAACAACCTGATGGTCAAGAACCGTTACCTGTTACCAAGGATCGACGATTTGTTCAACCAGTTGCAGGGAGCATCTTGGTTCTCCAAGATCGATTTGAGGTCTGGATACCATCAGGTAAGGGTGTGAGATGGGGACGTCCAGAAGACAGCGTTTAGGACGCGTTATGGGCACTATGAGTTTGTGGTGATGCCTTTCGGACTCACCAATGCCCCGACAGTGTTCATGGATCTCATGAACCGGGTGTGCAGGCCGATGTTGGATCGGTCGGTGATTGTATTCATTGATGATATTTTGGTATATTCGAGATCTAGAGAGCAGTATGAGGAGCATTTGAGGCAGATCCTCGGAGTTCTGAGGTCGGAGAGGCTTTATGCCAAATTCTCCAAGTGCGATTTCTGGTTGCGGGAGGTCCAGTTCCTAGGACATCTTGTTAACCAGGAAGGGATATTGGTCGACCCAGCCAAAGTTGAGGCGGTGATGAGTTGGGAGGTGCTGAGGTCACCCTCCGAGATCAGGAGTTTTCTAGGGTTGGCCGGTTATTACCGGAGATTTATCAGGGATTTCTCTAAGATCACAGTGCCACTCACTAGGTTGACCCGGAAGGGTGTCGCTTTTACATGGGGCCCCGAGCAGCAGGCCTCCTTTGAGACGTTTCGCCAAATGTTATGCGAGGGCCCGGTGTTAGCCCTCCCGGAGGGAATGGAGGACTTTGTAGTATACTGTGTGCATCGATCTTGGGGTTGGGAGCGGTGCTAATGCAGAGAGGGCATGCGATAGCATATGCTTCGAGGCAATTGAAGCCTCATGAGATGAGGTATCCCACCCATGACCTAGAGTTGGGGGCAATGGTGTTCGCCCTCAAGATTTGGCGCCACTATTTGTATGGGGTTCGGTGTACGATATACACGGACCATAAGGGTCTGAAGTATTTAATGGATCAGCCCATCCTAAATATGCGACAGAGGAGGTGGTTGGATGTGGTTAAGGATTACGATTGTGAGATCCTGTACCATCCGGGCAAGGCTAATGTGATAGCCGACGCCCTGAGTCGCAGGGCGGAGAGTGCCCCATTGCGAGATGTATGTTTGCGGTTGACCGTGATGACTCCGGTGTTGGACACCATTCGAGGAGCACAGGCTGAGGCAGTGAGGTCAGAAAACCAGAAGAGGGAGCGAGTTGTTGGGTTGGTATCGGAGTTCGTTACCGATGGACGGGGGCTTATGACTTTTCAGGGGCGTATTTAGGTACCGTTTGTGGGAGGAACGCGTACCATTTTGTTAATGTTCGTTGATACCATCATTTCAGTAATGATTGGGAAGATGATTGTTTTTTCGACCCTAGTGGTCATATCAATCAAGTTCGACTAAGATAAGTGTGTTAAGTGGTTCAGAGAACCAAGTTCGATGTAGCATCTAACTTAAGCCAAAAGATTGAAGTAAAAGATAATTTAAGCGATCAATAGAATTATCGCGATTGTTGTTAAAGGAAGAAGCTTTGTATCTAGAAGTGCTACATGCTATAATGTGATTATATCACAATAGAACATGAAGGAAGATATATTTCGTTCTGGAATTTGACTCTAAAAGACCTGAGTCTAAGCGTTGCATCATACAATAAGAGGTCATCAGAACATGACCCATCGACCTGTTATGATAATCGAAGTAAAGAACTTATCCCAAGTTAATTCTGGTTAAGAAAGAGAAAGAGTCTCCAATAAAGATCAAGTCTGAAACTCGAAGGTTATGATTGCAAGTCCAACATGAGATAACGAGCATGTGCAAGATTGAGCACCGCTAGTAGTCAAGAGATCTAAGAGTTGGATACTCATTTAAAAGGACATAAGAGTTACGATAATTACCTAAGATAAAAATATAACATATGGAGTCATTATACAAGCCTTATTTCATTGATGATTCCGGGACGTAATCAACCTAATTGAGAGATAATTGTAACCTCCACATATTCGGGCTAGTCAATTTAGAGACAATAAGCGTCAAAAACATTTTTTTTGACAGAAGATTATTTAGAGTAAATAATCTTAACCAAGTTATAGTATATGTCACAAGGATTCCGTGCATATAAAGAACACTAAAATCCGACTTATAACGAAGAAGTTATGACCTGACGAAGTTTTGCGACAAAACCGGCACGAATCCGCGAATCGTAAAAAGTGAATTTTGGATAAACTACTTTTTAGCCTTATAGATCTAAATGAAAGTCGTAGTATATGTTAAACCGATAACGTACATAAAAAGAACGTCCAAATCTGACTTCGTTTGAAGAAGTTATGATTTTTCTAAGATTTTACATACCAGTATACAACCCGGAAATCGAATTTTAGTTCAATCGGTTTTTAGCTGAAATCACCTAAATGAGAGCTGAATATCTCATTAATAGGAGCTCAACGATATAAAGACATATGAAAATGGATGTCGGATGACAAAATTATGAATTTTTAACGGACTTTAATTGTTTAAGCTTGTTAAAATATAACTTTAAAAATAAAGTCAAAATTAACCGATAAAGTCTAAACGAAAGTTGTAGATCACGTCGCTACATACGTGTGGATATAAAAAATGTCAAAAATGGAGCTTGTATGCGAAAGTTACAGATTTTAGAAGATAATTAGTTTTTGGAGTAATCTGCGAGTGACACGTGGCACGATATGAGCCACTGCTTCTTCTCCACGCCTTGCCACCAGATGGTGACACTTGGTACCTCAACACGATGTATTGGGGCTCAGAACACGCCGTGTTAGTCAGATTTAAGCCTATAAATGGAGGCGCAAATCACCCCATTTCTTCACACCTTTCCATTTCTCTTCTCCCAAACCTTTTAAGCTTTTCCCTAGCACTTCCCAAATGTTAGAGGCCAGTCCCAGAGCGCCAGAAAGCCCACAGAAGAAGAGCTTTCAGCTCAGAAGTTCTGCCCGAGCAGAGCTCGGTTCCTCACTAAACCATATTGTAAGTAAGTTATGCTTACCCTGCTTTAAATATAACTTATGTTAAAGTTCATTATCATTATTACGAAGCTATAAAAAAGATTTATCAGTGATTCCAATATGTTATAGTGATTGATCTACTTATGGGGATGATGTCTAGGTTGTGATTTAGTGAGGTGTTTAAAGTGAGATTTCCAAACAATATATTTCGTATACCAAACAAACCTTACATCCGATATGATCCTACCTGGTTGTTTCTTAAATGATAGATTATGAAAGTAGACTTTGAGTTAATGATGAATCTAGACTAATAATTAATCACAATAAATATTAGACTAAAATCTAGTAATAATGATACTAGGTTTTGTCGAAAGAAAAGAAAATTGTTAGGAGCAAAGTGCTGCCCAAATTCCGAGTCATCACTTTAACAAGTGAGTGTATAGTTACTTTCATCTCACACACAGATATAAAATATTTAATATAAACTACATGCTATGTGTGCATATTATATGTGTTCTTGATATCTATGTTGGATGAATGATTTATACATGTTTTACGTGATTTAAACCGTATATGTATTTTTTTATACCTGTAAATATATTGGGTAAAGATGGATAGAAGAGTAAGGGGAGATAGGTGATAGAAAGGTGATGATAACCAGGTGATGATAAATATACGGTGACGAATAGGTGATGTGAGATAAGAGATGAATATGAGATGCCATAATCTTGACCTGCGATGTTGCGATGTAGTCATCTACCATAGTATAGACGGCGACCACTACTAATATAGAAAAGTCATGTGGAAACACTGACATGCTCGTAACCTGTAGGTGATGAATTACGAGTTCAGGCGATGTAATAACTACGTATTCATGCGATGATACTCTAACCCTTACTGGACACGTATTAGGGGAGTAATCCCTGAATCAGTACTATCTATGCGATGTAGGCGACGATCCTTAGGAAAATCCCTATTAGATAAACATTGACAACCATGGACTTAGTGCCTATTAGATAAACGTTGGCAATTATGGATTTAGTATTCGATAGATGAATATTGGCGGCTATAGACTTAGTGTCTAATAGATAACATCGACAACTATAAACTTAGTGCCTATTAGATAAACCTCGACAATGATTGACTTCATGCGTATTCCATAGGACAATCCTTAGGAATGGATGAATGAAGGATAAATGATTCTTATAGTAGATCCTTAAGAATATAAAAGATAATGGGAATGGGTAGTTGGGTTAATTGTTTGATGATTAAACATAATAATTATATTATTGTGTTATTTCAATTGTAGGGTTTTGTAAAAATATATTATCCTCTTATTGATGTCATGCCTTTGTATATGGCCTTCGTTATGGTGTCAAACTATATCCCATTCACAATTGTAAGACTATTTTGGTTGTGAGATTTCATAAGTAAAAAAGTTAAAGACTAAGTATAAACCCCAAGCAAAAAAGCCTTTCAATCAACATGAACCCACAAATTGAGCTTTCAACTACATTAGCCAAGTTGAAGGAAGAGGTTGTTACAGAATTGATAGCGGCGATCGATCAATAATAATTATTGTAGTTGCTAGTTGATGTGGGAAAACTACTTTGGTGAAAATGCTATACCATGCTCCGATGAGGAGTTCATCACAAATACTATCCAGGGTAAGTCAAATGTGGGTTTGAGAGAGAGAGAGTGTGTGAGAGAGAAATGTATTAGATCATTTTTTTAAAATTAAGAAGGTATTAAAATAATACGTGTGCTGAAGGGAGAGCCAATTGGAAAGACAAAAATACCCCTTCTCTTTACGGTAGATAACATTAGGTTGTAACTTATTGTATCAACAGGCACCATAGCAAAAAAAAAAAAAAGATCCAATTTGGACTATTAGTATACCAATAAATCTTTTTGGATCAAAACTATATATTTCTGACAACTGCAAGGACTATTTTTGTAATTTTGTCAAAAATTAACTATTTTATGTAAAGCGTTAACACACACACATTTTATAGTATTTGCAGATTGCAACCCTCCGTCAAAAAATTCTCTTGCAAGGATAGAAGGAGAGAGACGAGAGGAGATCTGCTCGTAAACTTCCAGTTGGGCTCACAATCTCACTCATACCGACACAGAAGACGGAGATCTGATTCATTTTTGCAATCCATTGGACGTCTAGGTTTATAATTCTTATTCTTTCATTCTAATGGCGCAGTACGTGAAGAAAGACGATGATCGCGACGAGGAAGGTAAGACTTCGAATTTCTACCTCGTTTTTTGAATTATCTGATAAATTTTTTCAATTTCGTCGATTTGGCTCGTTATTGCTGTTCGTCAGTATCACTGTGATTCAAGTGATCTCCGATTTCAATTTAGATCTGCATTGTGGTTAAATAGGTCGTGTATGTAAATTTAGCAAATCTGATTTGCAAGCTCTTGAAATCATTATGTCGGTCGATCTCATTGTTACTAATGGTATTGGTGTTGCGAAATCCAGTTGACTTGACTGTGTATTACGGATGTTTGGCCTATTACTGCTATTCTTAGGTGCTATTGTGTGATTTAGATGATTTCCATTTTCATTATAGATCTACATTGTGGTTAAATAGGTCGTGAAAGCAGTTTAGTTAAGCTGAATTTTAAGCTGTTGAGATTACTATATCAGTGGATCTGATTGTTTCTGATGATAATGGTGTTTGTGAAATCAGGTTGGCTTGACTGTATGTTTAATGAGATTTGATGGAACTAAAATAGAATATGTAAATTACTGAGATTTCCAACAATTATATGAGATGTTCTCTAGGAATGAAAAAGGCCTAAAATGTATCATTCCTACATTTTCTTAAATACCGAATCAAATCTGATTAAATGGTGAAGCATTTATCTTATAGAAATTTTCAAAAATCGAGTTCTGCATGTCTTGGTTATTGTATAGGGGTAAGTCTTGTTTCTAAGGTGATGTCAACAAATTATATGCTTTTGATGTGTTGATGGTAATCTTGATCAATGTATTTTTGTAAATTGAGATCATCAGATCTTGTTTGGTGATTAAAAGAAATAGAATAAGGCTGTGTGTGGAATTTCACAAATGTTATAGTTCCATCAGCTCCCCACACTGATAACCAAACAAAAGAATCCAAAAAATGAGGTAGGAATTCATAGGCACGTTCTGTGTTTGTCATGATCATGTCATTGAGCCTCAGTGTCTCTAGTATCATTTTTGTTGTTATGTTGATATTCAGTTCATTTCCATTTCATTGCTAGATCTACTTTGTGTTTGAATAAGTCCAAGTGTCCAACCTATAATTTCAGCTAATCTGATAGGCAAGCTCAAAGATTACAAAGACTTAAAGAGCTGATGGAACAATGATATAATTTATAGGTTATGTGATTGACCTCGATTAATAAAATATTCTTGAGCAATTTCACCCCCTTAAGTACAACTAGTAATTCCTACGAAGAAGGGAAGAGCATATCTAACTGATAATTGATTACAGCTTCTGAGTACTGCACATTTGGTTTTTAACCCATGAAAAGGTCTTGCATCTTTTGTAGCATTGAGTCATCAACCAATGTTTTACACTTTAGATTGGTTGTAGATGATACAGATCAGTGTACCCTTGTAACTTCATTGTTACTGAATTTGGTCTACACTTGTAAATAATTAAAATGAGGTCTCTTTGTCATGTGCAGCAGAGTACTCCCCCTTTTCTGGAATCGAGAAAGGAGCAGTTCTTCAGGAAGCTAGGGTCTTCAATGATCCTCAGTTAGATTCAAGGAGATGTTCACAGGTGCTTCTTTTTATGTCAACACCTGATTTGTGACACATTATTTGTTTTATTGTTCTCTTACATGAACATGATCTAATATATAATATTTCTTCTTTGGTGGCCAGGTTATCACCAAGCTGCTTTATCTTCTGAATCAAGGTGATACCTTTACAAAGGTCAGATTTTTGACTGGTCAAAAAGACAACACCAGATCTTTTATCCATCTTGGTTACATCATATTAGTATTTAATATTTTATTGTCGCTCTTTATTTGTAGGTTGAAGCCACAGAAGTTTTCTTTTCAGTAACAAAACTTTTCCAGTCTAAAGATATTGGATTAAGAAGAATGGTTTATTTGATCATAAAGGAGCTCTCTCCCTCTGCAGATGAGGTCTCAGATAATTAATTTTATATTCCTTATTTGTGTATCAGATTTTATGCTGTTATATTTGAATGACATGCTACATTTCCTTGTGCTATGAAGGTTATTATAGTCACGAGTTCCCTTATGAAAGACATGAATAGCAAGACTGATGTGTATCGGGCAAATGCTATTCGTGTTCTCTGTCGCATCACAGATGGGACCCTTCTGACTCAGATTGAGAGATACTTAAAACAAGCTATTGTTGACAAAAACCCTGTAGTTGCCAGTGCAGCCCTAGTCAGTGGTATCCATTTGCTCCAGGTACAACTTAACTAGTGTTTGGTGTGATGGAATCATGGAAGGAATGGAATGGTTCATTCCATTGTAATGAGAAAAAAAATGTTTGTTTTTCCTGAGCTTTTTATTATCTTTAATTTTCAGTTTTCGTAAATCAAAGTTGTTATTATAAATAAAATAATGGTATAGAATATAGATTACAGAATAGAGGTAAAATTATATAAAAATTTCATTCCATTCCTACAAGCCAACTAAATATGATCATGGAATGTAATGGTTCATTCTATCTCGTGTTACTATTATTATTTATTTATCTCTACTTATCTTATATCCTTGTATCTTAGACAAACCCAGAGATTGTGAAAAGATGGAGCAATGAAGTACAAGAAGCTGTTCAATCTAGGGCTGCACTTGTACAGTTTCATGCCCTTGGTTTGCTCCACCAGGTACTGTTACAAATGGGCCTCATGTGAAATTTTTTGCATTGCATACCAATACCATTCATTAAAAAAAAATCGGATATATTTCCAGATAAGACAAAACGACCGCTTAGCTGTCAGCAAATTAGTTACCAGCTTAACAAAGGGTACTGTTCGTTCACCTTTAGCCCAATGCCTACTCATCCGTTACACCAGTCAGGTACTTTTGTAGTTTTGTTCACTCTGTTGTTTTTGAATTTTTTTTTTCTTCTCTAAAGTAAATATCTGAATATAATTAAATAATTGTTTTCAGGTTATTAGGGAGTCGAGCATGAACAGTCAACCTGGGGACCGCCCATTTTATGACTATTTGGAAAGTTGTCTCCGCCACAAATCAGAGATGGTTATTTTTGAAGCTGCAAGGGCAATAACGGAATTAAGTGGTGTTACTAGCAGAGAATTGACACCTGCAATAACTGTCCTACAGCTCTTCTTAAGTTCCTCTAAGCCAGTACTTCGATTTGCTGCTGTCCGCACATTAAACAAGGTCATTTTCTCGTCCTCTGTAGTGAATCTGATTGTTCTTCTTTGGTATGCAGTAATCAAAGAGGGAATGGAATTGTGTATCATGAAGTGATGACAAAACCATGTCTGTCTGCCATTGGAATGGAATAGAGCACTCCTCATGGAATGTGATTCTTTCTCCTCGACTGATTGTCCGTCCATGAGGAGGTGGTGCTTTTTCATTCCTTGATGGAATAGAATGATACTATAATTCTAAATTATTTTTATTTATACAGTATTCAATAACAATAATGTTTAAAAAAAGTTCAAACCTTCAATTAGTTTTTTTTGTCATTTTCCAAAAATAACTAAAATTATCTTTTGATTACAGTTTTTTTTAAAGCTTATGCTAGCAATTTTTTAGAGTGATAATTTTTTTTAACTATATGAAATACGTATAGAATATGTTTATAAGTTTATTCCAACGGCATGAAATATATTTATATATAGATTATTTAACGATATATCCTTATTTGATTATTTTTATTTATTTATCAGTTTAATTTAATTTAGTTTTTTAATTGTACACAACAAACATCATTAAATAACTTATTCCATTCCTTCAACTCAACCAAACATATGATAATAGAACACAATAACCCATTCCTTTACTTTGTCTCCTTTGTGATTCCATATTTCCATTTCATCATACCAAACAAAACCCATAATATCTTTCCCCTTATCTATATCCTGATAGATAACATCGGGTGTCATCATGTACAGGTGGCGATGACTCAACCAATGGCAGTAACTACCTGCAACATAGATATGGAGAGTCTAATTTCAGACCAAAACAGAAGTATTGCTACCCTTGCCATTACCACACTTCTGAAAACAGGAAATGAATCAGGCGTTGATCGTTTGATGAAGCAAATTACAAACTTCATGTCTGACATTGCTGATGAGTTCAAAATTGTTGTGGTTGATGCCATTCGATCATTATGTTTGAAGTTCCCCCTGAAATTCAGAACATTGTAAGTCTCTTCAACTTCATTTCTTCCCAAAATTCAACATGTAATATAACCAAAATGTAATTTTCTACTTTCTTTATTAGGATGAATTTCTTAAGCAATATATTGAGAGAGGAAGGTGGGTTTGAGTACAAAAAAGCAATCGTTGATTCAATTGTTACTATTATAAGAGATATCCCAGATGCAAAAGAGGGCGGCCTCCTTCACCTCTGTGAATTCATCGAGGATTGTGAATTCACATATCTTTCAACACAGGTTATCATTTCTTTCTTCTATTTTCTTTTTAACTTTAGAGTAAATTACAAAACTGGTCCCTGTGCTTCGTGCTTTTTATTGTGTTTAGTCCAAATTTGGAAAAGGTTTCATATCGATTTGGTCTCTGTAACCTTGAAATCAGGAGAAAAATCAGAATGTCTTGGGGTCCAAATCAATATGAAACCTTGAAATAAGGACCAAAATTGAAAATATTTCAATTCTGGACTAAATGATTAAAATCAGAAAGCTCAGGGACCATTTTTGTAGTTTAATATAAATTTTATCTAGCTTTTATCGTTTTTATATTTCCATTGGTCATTTATTTTACTAAACTTTTTTACTTCATTTTTAGATTCTTCATTTTCTTGGAATTGAGGGACCAAAAACAGCAGACCCCAGCAAATTCATACGCTATATATATAACCGTGTCATACTTGAAAACGCAACTGTTCGAGCCAGTGCAGTTAGCACTTTGGCAAAGTTTGGAGCTATGGTTGACTCACTCAAGGTAAGTTTGGTGCTATCTTCAAATTTTATTCTAGTAAGTCACAAATATATAGTGTATTCAGCTTTTTTATTTTTTTTGTCATGAACAAAAGAAAATTATTTACAGAATTCATGTATCTATTTAAAGTTTTATGATTTTTATAAAAAATTACTTCAAGCCAATATCATATACCATATACATGGAATCTGTTTTTCCAAACTATTTATAAAAAGGTAACATTAGCTCATTAATATAAACGTAAGCCAAATAATATCTTAATATAAAACATGTTGGTGGGTGAAGAACAAAATGGTCATTTTAAATGTTAAATAATTTGAAAACTTATACTTGTTAAGACAAATAAAAATAAATGTTATATTTTAGAAAGTAGTTCAACACTAATAAAATCAAGAAAAAATTATGAAATTACAGATTTGGTCCCTGTGGCATACTGTCTTTTTCTTATTTAGTTTTGGTCCAAGGGCAAACTGGTCATTTAAAAAAAAAAAACTAACAGCTGCGTAGTATTTAGATTTAACGATTCAAGGACCAAAATAGTTATAAAACATCAAAATAAGGACCAAATTTGCAAACCGATTCCTTTTGAGACCAAAACTGAAAAAAGTGTTAAACTCAGTGTCCAAAATGCAAAATTAAAACTTATTTTTTCTTTTATTAATATTGAAGTACTTGATTGTCTTAACTAACACGGATTCATAATATTTTCAGCCTCGTATATTTGTTCTGTTGAGGCGCTGTTTATACGATAATGATGATGAGGTTAGTTGTATTCATAAAGCAGTATGTAACGTTTGATTTTAAATCTATATACAGTTGAAAAACATTTGACTACTTTTTGGGAGTCATGTGTAGGTTCGTGACAGGGCTACACTATATCTGAATACCCTTGGAGGTGATGGTTCTGTTGTTGAAACTGATAAAGATGTAAAGGAATTTCTCTTTGGGTCACTGGATCTCCCACTGGTCAACCTCGAGACTAGTTTGAAAAACTACGTAAGTCACCACACAAAATTTTGTCACTTTTTTCATTTCCTACAATAATTATTTTTTTTAAAATTTGCGAATACAGGAACCATCAGACGAACCCTTTGATATCAATTCTGTATCAAGGGAAGTCAAATCTCAGCCATTTGCTGAGAAAAAAGCTCAGGCTAAAAAGCCCACTGGTCTTGGTGCTCCACCAGCTGGCCCCACTTCAACAGTTGATACTTATGAAAAGTTACTCTTATCAATCCCAGAGTTTTCAACGTTTGGACAGCTTTTTAAGGTTCCTTCCTTAACCTACTGATATGTGATATCCCATGGTTTTCTTTCAACTTATTATCCTGATTAAAGGTTCATGTTTCTTTAACCAGTCATCTGCACCAGTGGAGCTGACTGAAGCTGAAACGGAGTATGCGGTTAATGTTGTCAAACACATATTCGATAAGTATGTTGTGTTCCAGTACAACTGTACCAATACGATCCCTGAGCAGTTATTGGAAAATGTATGGATGCTTTTTGAGTCATGATGCTTGCTTTTTTTAGTAAAATAAAACTAACAAATACAAAATGTTAGGTCACGATTGTTGTGGATGCTTCAGAAGCAGAAGAATTTGAAGAATTAGCAACCAAGCCATTAAGATCCCTGCCATACGATACACCAGGACAAACATTTGTTGCATTTGAAAAACCAGAAGGTGTTCCATCTATTGGCAAATTTTCCAATGTCTTGAGGTTCATTGTTAAAGAGGTAATAAATTAAATACTATCCAAATATCCAATCCTGTTTTTCTTAACCATTTCATTACATTGTCCTTTGTGGTTCCATTCCATGATACCAAAGAAACTCTTGTATATAAATTCCAGGTTGATCCTTCGACTGGTGAGGCTGAGGAAGATGGTGTGGAAGATGAATATCAACTGGAGGAATTTGAGGTGGTTGCATCAGACTACATGCTTAAAGTCGGGGTCTCAAATTTCCGAAATGCATGGGAAAGCTTATCCCCGGATTTCGAGCGTGTTGATGAATACGGCCTTGGTCCAAGGGAAAGTTTGAAAGAAGCCGTGAACACTGTCATCAACCTTCTTGGCATGCAGCCTTGTGAAGTAAGTAAATGAAATCCATACGATACGTTGTTTAAATAGATATATAAAAATGACTAAAATTTATATGCTATGTTTCAGGGGACAGAAGTGGTTGCAGCCAACTCAAGATCACACACGTGTTTGTTATCGGGTGTGTACATAGGCAATGTGAAGGTGCTTGTTCGCTTATCGTTTGGAGTTGATGGTGCCAAAGAGGTTGCAATGAAACTTGCTGTCAGATCTGAGGATGAACTTGTAAGTGATGCTATTCATGAACTTGTAGCCAACTAGTCCCTTTTTTGTATTTTGTATTTTGTTCTTTTTGGAGTTTTTGATTTACAAAATTATGAGACTGGTGGTTGAGTTTGAGATTAAGGGGATATAAAATTGTTCTTTTTGTCTAGTCAATAAGGATTATTTGAAGATAGTTTTGTGAACAATGCTAAGACATACATGTGGTTGATATTTTGTGGTGTAAACAAGAAGAAATAGTATATGTATTTTGCTTTCACTTCTTGCGATTAGTAGTGTCATATATAACAACATTTAACACAACCAGTCCATCAAACCTAGGCAAAATGTCCTTACATTATAGCATAATCTACAATTCTTTCTTAACAGCTATGTTCGATGCATTTTATTTGTAAAGAACAGAAATATATATATCAAAATCATAAACATTAATATTATTATATGATAATTTGGTTCATGTCTAAAAGATCTTTTAATATGGATACAATAAAGACAACCAACAAGTAAATTGTAATCAAAACTAGACCTGGCAAAAATCGATCTACTCTCAACCCATCAAACCGATCCAAATTTAATAGGTTGAATTTTAATTTTCAACCTGTTTAATTAAATTAGTCAACTTGACCAATTAAAATTCGGTGGATTAAAGTTGAAATTCTAATCCTATGCTAGCATGTTTATCTAATATAATGGGTTGTGTTGATATCAAAACCGAGTCCATTTTTTGGACATACAGAACAATGCGTTACCAAAAGGCTTTTAGTCCAGCAGTATCAGGTGTTGTATTTCCTTTTTTAGGTTGATAGTTCAAGTTCCGTGTAAGTTAGAAGTAGATTATATTTGTCATTCCAAAAAAAGAGTCAACTTGAGATCAACCTGTTTATCAAATATAATGGGTTGACCTGAAGTCATGATCATTTAATTAAACATTTGAATTTTGTTGAAATTATCAATCTATTTAAATAAATAGGTCAATTCGAACCCAACTATTATCGGGCCTTATGAAATTATAAGTTTTTGATATCGGAACAAAGTTGAACTTTTGGAGAATGCAAAACAAAAAAATGTGGGATTGTTTTTTCAAAGTACAAGTTTTCCTACGTTAGATTATTCCGACCTCTCGACTTTCAATTAACATTTTATTAGACTTATTTTGTGTATTATGAAGGCCAGTTTTGAGCATGAAAAATGCATTCCATTAAACTTGAAATTGATGGAACAAACTGATTCCTTCTATATTTATAAAATTGATTCCTTCTATATTTATAAAATTGATATCTAGATCATTGGATTGTTAAAGCTAGCTATTAAGTTATTTTAATATATAACCGATAAGAACAAAATAATTTTATAAGACTGCAGACAACGAGAATGGTGGAGACCCAAGTTAAGACTCATTCGAGAGTTAATTGCGGCCGATTAATAAAATTGAAATTCATGCTCTGTTGAGTTCCATCTTTTTTGGGTGGGACTATTTTTTAAGTGAATTGTCCCACTGGATTTGGTTAAACTTTAAGTTAGTTTTTGTTATAGGTATGCCAAACACGTTCTAAAAAAATTGTAGTCTTGTTCTGCTCTATCATGTTATACCCACCAAACAGGCCATAAGGCTTATGCATTGTTGTTGATAAACGTAAATAAAACAACATTTTCATTAGGTCAACAAACAATGTGGTATCTCGTTCGACATACTATTGTATATAATAATAATTGGACAACAAAGTCTATCGATCGATCTAATGCATATTAGATGCATTTTACTTGAATAAATTACCCCACATGGCCTACAATAAAGATCGACAATAAGAACCAACATCAAACTTGCAATCTTAACACTTTAAGGTGCAAATCCATCTTTAGTTTGCCATGCCAATTGTATTTCTATTTTCCAAACCCTAGGGATTTTAGTTGCTTTGACTTTTCACAACTTTAATTGGTCATATTTTGTTTCAACTTTAAAGTGCTAGAGGATCCACCAAATAAAGAATGAGACTTATTTACTTAAACAAATAATAATGAAATTAGTACAAAAGAATTTCTCAAATCTAAAGAAACCAAACTAACAATTTTTTAGTTTTTAAAGTTTTTTAAATAGAGACTTTTCTATTTAGGATATTTTGATAGAAATAAACTAGCTTATTGTAATTTAACATTTGATGAGACCATAAAAATAGTTTATTGTAGACTATAAAGAAGCTTATAAGCAATGATGATTTCAACATTTTCTTTTCATGGGGGGCATTATTGAGTTTTAAAAAAAACATAAAGGGCTTTACATATAAAATTTAAAATAATTGGAATATTTATATGTAAATTTTTTTAGCCATTGGGGGCATGTGCCCCACTCCTAATGCACTACATATAAGCTAAAAGCTATCTTTTGTGAGTGTGCCAAACATGACTTTTTATTTAAAGAATTATTGAATATTTATCAAAAAGCATTTTTGAAGATGTTTCATGGGTTAGCTTGGGTCATTGTTTATTTTTTTGATTTTTTGAATAGTTATCTATCTACGTTTTTATTCTATTAATGGGATTTTTAAATGTTAAAAAAATAGTTTCTTTGACTTAATAACATGAAAGAGCAAAGTTGACCCATGGTGTACCTCATTTAATTCCGGTGGTGCTTTTGAGGGTTTAGGATAAAGCTGTTAATAATGGTCTTAAACCTTATTTATACATCAAAGCATATTGTATGTTTTTTTTAATCCTTATGTGCGACAAGCTATTTAGATCGTTTATTATCATTCATTCAAGAAAAAGAAAAAAAAATTATTCTCCTCTTCATAGCAACGATCTTTTACCCCTTTTATTGAAGGTTATTCAAAGTTCAATAAAAGTGTCGTTCTATAGTAAATTTTCCCGATTTTTATTTCCGCTTTACATCTTGGTGTCGTATAGTTTTATTTATTTATTTATTTATTTTTATTTTTATTATTTTTTATTTTTTATATATATATATTTTTAAATATATGTGATTTTTTTAAAACACGAACAAAAGACCCGTGTTGGGGAATTTCCTGCAATTGTAGTTTCCCTCCTCTCATGCGATGGCTATCAGCTATGTATTTACAAGTTGGGTTCTAGAGCCTATTTTTATTAAATATAACAAATATATATAGAAAAAAATTTAAGAGATGTCTTATTTTTGCTAAAAGACCTACACTTTCATATATATTTTTTTCACTTTCATTTGCATAAAGAATCACATGGTTTTTAGTTCTAGTTAAGCTCCTCTATTTCATTTAAAGTATTAATGTGCCGTATATATGATTGTTAACCATTTTGGGGTTTTAGATAAAAGAGAAGTTGGAGGGTGTTTGAGATTGCTTTTAAAATAAATTTTTGATTTTTAGTTTTTTTTAAAAAGTTAAAAAAATTCAAAACATGTTTAGGAACTAGAAAAGAACTTTTCAAAATAATTTTTTACCAAGAAGAAAAAAAGGTTTTTCAAAAATCATTGAATTTTATACTTTTGGCATTTTAAAAAGGCAAAAAAACAGTCAAAATTCAAGAAATATCATCTAAATATTTTTTAAAAATAACTTTTAACTTTTACTTTAAAAAAAAATTAAAAAAAACCTTTGGGCTTAAAAAGTAATCTCAAAACACCACTTGATATCTTTTATAGTAGCTCGCCTTGTGAAATTTATATAAAAAGAAACAAAACATCAATTTATAAAAAGCTCACACGTATGAACCAAATAAAAAAGTTTTCTACTCAAGAGAACAAACACAACCCATTTTCTCCATTTCCATTTCCCTCGATAATGTCATTTGCCATTTGGTAAATACGTTTTAGGGCTTCCTATGGTTCTCCAAATGCAAGAGAGCAAAATATTTAAATATATGAAATAAAGATGATCCTTTCTATACGCCAATTGCATAACTTTTAGTTTAAAATCTACATTTTTATTGATCGATTTCAATGTAATCCACAAATTGAGGGCGGATCATCCTGTGGTCTCTGAAACTTTAGTTCCACTTACGAACTAAAATATATCCTCTTTCTCTATACCAATTGCATAAACTACATTTCCATTGATCGATTTGGATGTAATGCACAAAATTGAGGCGGAATATGCTCTGAATTTTAGTTCCAGTTATGAGCCCTAACCTCAAGCGATCGCCCAAGCAATCAACGGCAACCGGAAACTGCAAAGGTACATACTCGAAGCGTAGTTTATCTCCTCCATCATCTCTACAAAAACCGGCGCCATTAACCACCGCAACAGAAGCAAAATCATCAAAGCGTTGACTTCTTTCTCCATCGAGCTCCCTCCTATTCTGATCGAAAACCACAATTGCGTCCTACTTCCATTGTTATGAACAAAGAACGTTGCTGCCTGAACGAGAAGCACGATCCGGCGATTTCGACCTACTCGGAAACTCAGATCTAGCCTTCGAAGACTGAATCTCCGTTGGGGGAGATTTGTACGGTATTCGCGGTGGACGCGGTTGGGATTCTCGGATGCATCGGAGGTTGGAGGGAGGAATCTCCGGCAGACGAAGACGAGAGAACCGAAAGCTAGAGTTCCGGCGGCGACTAGGAGCAAAGAGGAGGAAGATGATACCGAGGGACTAGGCATTGGAATAGGGAGGACATGCTAATTTGTGTCAGAATGTTTATATTGTACGACCGCCGTTGGCCGGTGTTTGGAGACTGGAGTACATTTTTTTTTTTTGTTAGAGAAATTAAATACATATATTTTTTATTTTTTATTTCTATTTTTTTTATCTATTTAAAATGTTTTTTTTTATCTATTTAAGATATGATAAATATACAAATTTAACATTTAATCGAAATTTAGATTAAATTCAATGACATTTGTTATAATTAAATTTAGATTAAATTAAATGATATTTGTCATAATCTAAAATAGACGGAAAGATAAGAAAAACTTTTTTTTCTTTAATAGATTTTTGTTAATATATTTTCTGGTTAACAAACAAAAACATTATATATAAAGTATTGTTTTGTCTTAATTTTTTTTTCATTACATTTTGAAAAAAAATAAATAAAATTGGACTCTTGATTGGATACCAATGGGTTATGAAGAGTGTAGCTTGTACCAACATGTCATTTAGCCTTAATATTTATGTTTTAATTAACCGAATATCTTATATAGTTAAAATTCTAGGGTTTTTTTTTTTTTTTTTTTTTTTTTTTTTTTGTACGCTTTTTAATTTTAACCATGCATGATTCTCTAAATTTACCAACATAATCTATATATGTGAAGTATATATCTCTTCATTAAT